GGGCAACACAGTGAGACTCTGTCTCAAAAAAAAAAAAAAAAAAATTATTTTCCCCCTTTCTTTCAACTTCTAAGTTTTAGTAATCCTATTAAATTATTTTTTAAAAATTATATGGAATAGCACTCTGAGAGGCTAAGGCGAGAGGATCGCTTTAGGTCGGGAGTTCAAGACCAGCCTAAGCAAGAGCAAGACCCTATCTCTACTAAAAATAGAAAAAATTAGCTGGACATAGTGGTGCACACCTATACTCCCAGCTACTCAGGAGGCTGAGGTAGGAGGATCACTGAGCCCAGGAGTTTGAGGTTACTGTGAGGTAGACTGACGCCACGGCACTCTAGCCTGGGTGACAGAGTGAGACTTTGTCTCCAAAAAAAAAAAATATGGAAGACAAGTCTTATAAAATATGCCTCAAAAAAGAGATTTCTGCAGTCAAATAAGTAGTTTAAGAAATACTACATAATAGATTTCTCTTTTGGCAACTCAAAACTTATATTAGTAAGGGTTGCAAGAATTCCTTGAATAAAAATACTGATTTAATGTTGTTTCAAATAGTGTTTCCAGGCATATTTGACAATGGATGAAAAGCCCCATCCCCTATGCACGTTTCATTGCTCTGATATTTCCTAGAAACTCTGATCTAAGGTGGGAAGATATAAAAGGGATCTTGTACTGAGGAAGAAGAGGAGAGAGGCAATGTGCAGTCCGTCCCTAATCCTGGAAGTTAGTAAAATAGTACTCTGATGATTTGCTTTGGTTTTATGCTTCAGGTTGATGGGGAAGAAATCGTTGAAGTTTTGTACCCTGAAGGAAAATGTTCTGCTTATCAAATGAAGGGATCAGCAGACCTGACTCTGTCCAAAGGTAGTAGTTTTCCAAATCAGTCATTTAATTACTCTAAATGCCTTAATACTTGAGATAATAAAGAAATATTAGGTATCCTCACTTATATGCCTTATCTGTTACTATAGCTTTAAATGAAAAGGTTATTGCTCATAGAAACAAAAGAACAGTGTACAAAGGTCCAGCATCCTTTCTCGTCTCTGAGACTAAAACTATTTTTAAATTATTGAAAAGATACCTGTTTAATTTAATAGTGTTTCCTGTATTTTGTGAAGTAGCAGTTTATAAGTTAACAAATAGTTTAGAAATTGTATCTTGAGGATATTTTGTCTGATCTATTATATTCTTAATCTTTATAACATAACTTTTGTGTTTCTTTCATGCATTAATACTTTGAGAGTCATTTAATTAAAAAAAACAAACATTAAATTATTAATGTCTTATGAAAAGGTATATCATCGACATTGATTTTGGTTTATTTTTTTTTAAGTTGCATTTGTGTGATCTTTTGTCGTAGACACCAGAGTAGTTGTAGAACTAAAGATAACTGGATCATAATAGTGTAAACTACTTTTCCAGTCATAGCTACTTTTCAGAGTGGATGCTTTCAAAAAAATTTTTTTAACTTTTGCATTCTTTTTTTTTTAATTTTTATTTTTAATTATGGGTACATAATAGTTGTATATCTTTATAGGGTACATGTAATGTTTTGATACAGGCCTACAAGGTAAATTAATCTTATCAGGGTAACTGGGGTGTCCATCACTTAAAATTTGAAAGGACCTAACAAATTCTATTCAACATTTTGTCCCTTTCTTATGTCACTATTTTAAAAGTAAAACCCCATGTAAATTATTGCTTTTCAAGAATCTGATATACAAGAAGATGACATTTATGATGACCCTCAAGAAGCTGAAGTCATCCAGTCTCTGCTGGATGTTGTGGATGAGGAAGCCCAGAATCTTTTAAACCAAAATAATGCAGCAGGAGATGCCTGTGTTTCAGGTAGATGAACTAGATAAATAAATTGACACCCTAAGGAGTACAAGGCCATCCCTAGGGAGCATTTTTGGTATAAATATGTAATGCATTAGTGTTTTCCCCTATTCCTCATTAGTGGGTAATATTTCAAAAATAAAATAAGATTTATTATCTCCTATTTTTTCTCTTCCATGTTTGTGGGTGGGTTACATTATTAGTGAGATTTCAAAATGTATCATTAACATTATGGCTTTTACTTTTGGAAGTGTTAATCCAAACATTCTCTCAGTTGATACTAAACCATTCTTTAAACCATCCTTGAGGTGTTGTAATTTTAGTAGATAAGTTGAACCATAAATTTTATACTGCATGTATAGTGTCATTTATCCTAACTTTTCTGGTTAGAACATTGAAACTATTCGTGGAAATTGGTCCGTATATTGCCTTCTTTGGCAGGCAAATGAAAACTTTTCTGCTTCCTCAATAATTTTATTAATTTTTCTTGGCCTATATATTTCTCTCCCAGGTATGTTGAAGACAAATGGGAAGTTATCAGAAGAGAGAGCAGAAGATACAGACTGTGATGGTTCACCTTTACCTGAGGATTTTTCTCAGGTAAGAATAATTTCTAGAACAGCCTAGAATACTACAATTTGTTAGAATTATATGTTTTAATCCAGAAGTGAAATAATCATAGATTATTGCTCATTTTACTGAAAAATTATGTTTAGGGAGAAAATGGAGATTATTAATAATTTCACTTGTTACATTAAAATGTCATCCTATCCCAGTGAAAGAATCATTACTCAAATTCCTTCAAATTAAAAAAAGAAAGAAAGTAAATAATTATTTTTCAAAAATGTATTGCTAAACTTTTCAAATTCTTATTAAAATCTTAAAACTTTGGATCTTCTGGGACACTGGCCTAAAAAAAAACATGAAATAGTAGATAAATTATATTTAAGGTTCCTCAAACTCAGTATCATCTTATTTCTATAAATCTAATTTTGCTTAGTATTCTAGAATAATTCCCCTCATTATCCTTAGTCTTCGTACTTCACATTTTCAAAATTGTCAAAACTATGCTGGTCTGGGTTGTTACAGTTATTACTACGTATGCATGGACTCACACAGTCTCATGCATACATGACTATGTTCATTAAACATTTATAAATAATTAGTACTTGTACATATGAGGAATCTTATGGCTGATGAGTATATATTTCTTCTACAAAAAATGCTTATTCAAATATTAGGTATCTCAAAATGTAGCATTATCTAATAGTTTTACTTAGGAGACTCTTTCGTACTATCAGAATATTAATAATTATTACAACAATGGTATCTTTAAAAAGCTTTCTGAACATTTTGTCCTGATGACTATTATGTTTTTACTAGTAATAACATTAAAAGTGCCCCTTAAAATGTGTGTTCTAAAGTCTCTTAACTAAGAAAACAAATAAAACTCTTTAATTGCCATTTCAAAAATATCATATCAGATAGTTTTACTTTAAAAAAAAGTAAAAATAAATTGTTAATATAATATAGATTTTCATTTATACTGAACTATAATAACAAAAGTTTATAACAGAAAACTTCTTTCAAGTTATCTTTTTTATTATTTTGATTATGAAAATATTACATCCTTGTCATAAAAAAAATATTTCACACACAATTATGTAAAAATGTAAGTCCCTTTTTAAAACACATTCCTATATTCATTTGAGGTAGCTACTGTTAAAACTTTGATTTCTACCCTTCCATTATGCATGAAAATACATAGATAATTATATACATATGTATTAATATTGTTAAAATATAAATTTGATCACATGGTTCTCAATTTGTTTTTCACTTGATTGATGATTACTGTCTTTCCACATGAGTACATATAAATTTAATTCATACTTTTTAATGCCTTCTTATTATTTACTGCATGCTTATACCATAATTTATTTAATGGGCCATCTATTGATGAATTTTAAATTTCTTATTTATTATAAAGTATAGTGAAACGAAGTCTTCTACTTTTTGTACTGTAAACTCTCAGACCTCACAAGACAGAATTAATTTTATAAAATTTAAGTGGCTTGTGTTCTATGACCACTTCTCTACAGACTCCGCCATTTCTCGTTCCCCTACATCACCCCACCCCACCCAGGCATTTTAAAGGTTTATATCATTTGTCTGGTCTCTGCAAGCGTTTGAGTTTGCAGTCTGTCTTAGTCTGCTCAAGTCGCCATAACAAAATACCACAGACTGGGTGGCTTAAACAGTGAAATTTATTTTCTCACAGTGCCAGCAAGGTTGGTTTCTGGTGAGGCCTCTCTCCTTGGCTTGCAGATGATTGTCTTCTGGCTGTGTCCTCACATGGCCTATCCTCTGTGTGGGCACACTCCTGTCTCTTCCTCTTCTTGTAAGGACAGTAATCCTATTGGATTAGTGCCCCATTTTTATGACCTTATTGAACCTTAATTACCTCCATAAAGGCCCTGTCTCCAAATACGTTGAGGCTTAGGGCTTTAACCTATTAATTTTGGGGGGTTCACAGGACAGGTGCCTATGGAAAAATAAATAAAGAAATAAAAATTTAAAGAAATAATTTTAGAGGGACATAATTCATTCCATAACACAGTCTTTGCTTAACAGTTATAGAATATTATTAAATAAAATTTTATTCACAATAGTTACAAACGAAAGCTGTAGGCATAAATTCAACCAAAAATGTACAAGACCTATATTATGAAAACTTTAAAACTCTACAAAGAAGCATAGAAGAAGTATTAAAGAAAAACATTTCTTGTTCTGTGATAGAAAAACTTAAAATTTAAATTCTCCCTACATTCACCCATAAATTAAATATGGTCCCATAAGATATTTCAACTTTTTTTTAAATGAAAAATAAGGTGGCTTGGTAAAATGATTTTATATAATTTGCCCTGCCACCAAAATACAGATAGATCCTGCAAGTTTGTGCATTGAGACTACATTTTGGGCCAGTCCATTCTTAGAAATAATAAATTAGCACTGCTTGAATAGATGGGACTTCTGCTTTAGAACCCATTTTAACTAACAGTAAGCAAAACAAACAAAGTAAGAAAACAAATTTAGGAAAGGAGTAACAAGGTACTTAGATAAGGCTGGGAGCGGTGGCTAACACCTATAAGTCTAGTACTCTGGGAGGCTGAGGCAGGAGGATCGCTTGAGCTCAGGAGTTCAAGACCAGCCTCAGCAAGAGCGAGACCCTATCTCTACTAAAAACAGAAAGAAATTAGCCAAACAACTAAAAATAGAAAAAATTAGTGGGGCATGGTGGTGCATGCCTGTAGTCCCAGCTACCTGGGAGGCTGAGGCAGGAGGATCATTTGAGCCCAGGAATTTGAGGTTGCTGTGAGCTAGGCTGACACCACCGCACTCTAGCCCGGGAAAGAGAGTGAGACTCTGTCTCAAAAAAAAAAAAAGAAATGAAAAGCCAAGACGAGTATGAAGATGACTAAGTGCAACCAGCAAACATTTTGGGCCACTGAAGATGCCTCAGGCACTTGTTTGGAGTATTAATTGAATATTAATTGAATGCATATGTCTCTTTGTAATATTAGGATGAACAATAACAGTAAATATAGGAAATAATTCACAGGAAAATTAACCTTATGAGGTTGTTTGATTTTTTTTTTGTTGTTACAATGAACTGATTTGATATTTATTTCTCTTTATTGTAGTCTACCAAAATAAATGGCTGTGAAGAACATTGTGAAGAAAACATAAAAAGTGAAACGTAAGAAAATTATTTTTCAAAGTGTCTATAACACTTCCATTCTCTTTTTTTAAGACACACTCCGTAAATTTCCATTTGTTTTCCAATAAAACGAAGAGTGTTGGGTAAATTATGGAACTGGTTAAATATTAAGAATGTTTTAAAATTTTTGTTACAAGGAGGTTCTAGTGACATGTAAAAATGTGTTTATTATACAACTAGCAATATTCCCTTAACCATGGGGTAAAAATGAATGAAAGAGTGTTCTAAATGAGAATGTGCCAACAACAATGATAGTAATTATCTGCTTCTGCTAGGATTATGGGTCATTTATTTTTCAGTTTCTTCAATTATGTATACTTTTCAAATTTTTTAATTTTCATGAATAACAAAATGAAACCAAAGAAGGTGAGAAACCTTTTAAAAACTGTTTCTTTTTGCAAAGTTTCTGATACATAATAAGATCTTTTTTGTAACCTATCCAGGAAAGGTTTTATATATATAGTTGGCAAAAAAGTGATTGTATGTAAATTTTACTTCATATTAAATCATAATCTGACAGTCAAAAGGAGCTATTTGCATTTTCCTAGAAAGGCATATTGACAGTGAATTTTTTACTACATTAAAGAAGGGGGTACATGTTATTAATGCAGAAATGCATACACCTAATAATTAGCAAATATCAGAAAAAGGATGTCAATAAAGAGGTACCTCTTATGCTTCGGTGGGCAGGGAAAGGGGAGGAAGGAGGAAGGGTAAATTAGTGTGATCTCTTTGGGAGGCACTTGAAAACACTATTAAAATATAGATTCTTTGGCGTATTACTAATCCTTGGATGTACTTTTTTGTTTTAACATCTCTAAAATTATGAAGGGTCTTATGATCATCAATATTATTCATTTTTTGAAGTAAATAAAATAATAATGTATCTTACAATGATAGGGTCATAGGTTCGAAGAAATGTGGTATATACCCTTCAACCTAGCAATTTTATTTCTATTAATAAGAATCAATCCCATTCCCATATATTTGCAAAGACATTTCTACAAGAGAATATTCTTTAGAACATTATTTACTATAAATAATTTGTAATTGTTTATAGTAGCAAAACACCATAATAGAGACAACAAATTTGGAGGCACTCATACAATGAAATACTAAACAGCTGTTCAAAAGAATGAGAAAGAAGGGAATGCCTGATGGAAGGATCTCCAAATACATCCTTGCAAACAAACGATAGTCAGCCCTTCAGGGATTCGACCAACCACAGATTGAAAAAAAAAAAAAAAGGCAATAAAAAGTAATACAACAGTAAAAAATAATACAAATGAAAACAATATAGTATAACTATTTACATAGCATTACAATGTATTAAGTATTATAAGTAATCTAGAGATGATGTAAAGTATACAAGAGGATATGTATAGGCTATATGCAAATACTACACCATTTCATATCAGGCACTTAAGCATCCATGGATTCTGGTATCCACCTAGGGTCCTGGAATCAATCCCACACAGATACCAAGAGACGACTATTTATGTATTAATACTAGGAAATAGAATCAACCACATGGATGCAGAGCTTGCAAATTAGGTGTAAACTGTGACCCACAGTGAATTGGAGCAGAGGAGAACATAAAAGCAGCATAATTGCTGCCCTGTTGACATTTTGGGAGTATTAGTCCATGTCCTGCTTTAATGATGTACTGTTAATACTATCATCAGACCAAAGTACTCTGCCTTTGTTCCCCTGAATATCAGAAAGTGAAAAGTGTATTCAGGCTTTTACATAATCCTTTTTCATCTCCCTTAGCACTAAACTCCTACCTAATTTCTCTTTTCTGTCCATCTGCCTTAACCAGGGATGGCATCTGCTGTGTACTCCCGGAATAATAAGAATTTGTACCGACTTTCATTACATTAAGTGAGTGCCCAGGTACAGGAGCGTCCTCTGGCCTCCTATTGTAGCAAAAGACTACGTCCATCAATAGGGACTTGTTTAAATAAATTAAGATGCATCTATATGATGCAATAGTGGGCATCTGCTGAAAAGAAGGAGAAAGAGCTATACACCGATACAATTATAATCTCTTATCCATGTTGAAAGACAGAAACAAAACCACCACCTTCTCCATCATCAAAGGGACTCCTTCAGTCTAAGGTTCAAAGACCTAGGATCTGTTTGAGGATAAATCTAAATCTGTACTAAACTATTCTGTTCCTCAGTTCAATTTACATTTACCAATAAATTTTAAGAATTGTGGATTTGATTTTTTTAATCAAATCTATTCTAAAATACTATAATAATTGTAGAGAAAATAATTCAGGGCTGTAATATTTAAATTTATTTTGAAGACAGAAATGAAGAAAATATTACAAATGTGTTTTCTTGTCATAGCTTAATTCAGAAGACACAAGAAAGGAAGACTGATGAGGATGAAATAACATGGGGAAGTGAGGAATTGCCAATAGAGAGAACAAACCACGAAGATTCCGATAAAGGCAAGAATTTTATTAGTAGTTTTTTCCCCAAAAACAATGGGTAGGAAAAATAAGTGTTTAAAGATGACAATTTTCAGAATATATGGATATGATATTTTACCATATATGTATATTATTTGGTACCTAAGGTTAAATCACCTGGACAAACATCAATATTCATTTATATAACTAGCTATTTGCACAGTTGTAACCTAAAATTCTCAGTGGCTTTGAGTAAAACATACAAATATTGTATAAATATTTAGAATGGAAACATGAAGTCATAGTTCTGCTATTCTGGACTAAAAAGTCAAGGAGCACACTTTATTTATAGTAAAATATGTAGAATAGTTGAAAGGTAAGGAATTATTATCCTTGAATCCCAACCTCATCTTTTATGATCAAGAGTCAGTTTGTCTGTTCTATTACTGCCTTTCATTTTATACTTGAGCCAGTGAGGAAATGAAATTCTATCCAGTGCCAGGCGTGGTGGCTCACGCTTGTAATCCTAGCACTCTGGGAGACTGAGGCGGGAGGATCGCTTGACCTAGAGAGTTCAAGACCAGCCTGAGCAAGAGCAAGACTTCATCTCTAGTAAAAACTGAAAAATTAGCCACGCATTGTGGTGTGCACCTGTAAGTCCAGCTACTCAGGAGGCTAAGGCAGGAGGATGGCTTAAGCCCAGGAGTTTGAGGTTGCAGTGAGCTATAATGAGGCCCCGGCCCTCTACCCAGGGCAACAAAGCGAGACTCTGTCTCAAAAAAAAAAAAAAAAAGGAAAGGAAAAAAATTCTATCCAGTGTTGTAGTTATTTTACGTAAGGAAATGTTATATTAATGTAATGAAAGAACATGTTTTTGTTTTTTGAAGTCTTTCTTTTTAAAAGAAATTAACAAAGTTGAATTAACATTTTCTTGGCTTAGGTATCGGTGTATGCATGATGCATTTGCCCAGCACTGCAGCAAATGCTCATCTGTCCAGCCTTTGAGCTCCTATTGCATTCACACTCAGTTCTGTAAAAGTCGACAGTCATTTCATATGAGTGAATTTTGTATTCCCAACTAGCCTTTGCCCCAGCTAGATGTGAAAACTTCTTTTGAGGTATCTTGTACCACAGTGCCTAGCATCATTGTTGCCTGCATATTAGCTACATCATCAAAATGCTTTAGTCAACTGATTGACATAAATTAAAACTATTAATATACTTGTACAGGCTCTAGCAAGAACTTTCTCCTTCTAGTGTTTCTAGAATAATAGTTGCCTTCTGTTATAAGTAATTTCCATAGAGCAGGTACTACATTAGACCCACACCTCTCCTAAGATACTTGTTCGACTCAACTCCTGAAGAACCCAAGGGATTTCTTCATATGCTTGGAGAAAACTATCAAATTCCAGAGCTGCCGGCACTGAGTGCCAAGGGTGGGTGGTGAGGACAGAAGTCAGTGTTCCTAGAGATATTTCCTGTGGTAAGAAATTTCTCAAGTTCTCTCTCATTTTTTTCCATGTGCATAGAAGCTAATTTAAATACAAAGTAATAACAGGACTAGATGTTTTTCTCATTAAAACAATGCCATTTGAGTCAAGAGAAGCAAAAAGGAACAGTGTAAACTCCTTTAGGAACTGTAAATAAATAAGAGCCAAAAGCCTTAAGAACTTCTGAGCAGTCAGTGAATTGTCTCCTTAGAAGTAGGGTACAGAGCCATGCTAGGGCAAAGACTTCCTGGTGTTGATTGTGTTTATCGGCCTACCTGTTAATTCTATTGCCTTATTAATTCTGTCATATTTTAAGATTCCACTTTTTATAATAATAGATAAGGTGACAATAGGCTGAAATTAGTTCATTTATTGGTCAAATCTGTTTTGGGGAAAATGTTTTTTTTTAAGAATCAGTTGCTGCTGTCTTCCTGTTAGATCATCCCTTTCTGACAAACGAGGAGCTTGCTGCACTCCCTGTCGTCAAAGTGCTTCCCTCTGGCAAATACACTGGTGCTAAGTTAAAATCAGTCATTCGAATGTTGCGGGGTTTACTAGAACAAGGAATTCCTTCCAAGGAGCTGGAGGTAAGTGGCCTCTGCCAGTGGTTCTCTCCCAAAGTTTTTATGCATTTATTTTAAGGAAAATGTGTCTTTACTAGCTCAAGATTAGGAGAAATTTTGAAAATATCTATTACTTTCCAAGTCTACCTGTAGTTAACTTATTTCCAACTATAAAAGCACCATCTTATCATACCTAACAGTAACTTAATTTTTCTAATTAGGGTCCTAATAATATTGATTTAAGAGGATCACATTAGCTACTTAGAACTTGATAAAATTCCCTGAAGATTATACTCCCTATATAGTCTTACTCCCTAAGTAAGATTATACTTACTTCATATGTAAGAATAAAAAGTTAAAAAAAAAAAAAACCAAGTATCAATTCCAAGCACCCACTAACTTCCTAATTAACATAGTATAGATGTGGTTCATCATTAACAGCAGTTTCTAATTTAATACAGCTCCAGGAATGTGTGCCCCAGTTCAAAGCAGCAATGGTTCAAAGACCTTGCTCCTATGGTCTTGTGGCGTCATCCCTGTGTACCACTAGGCAAAAGAGAAAGGCAGCACCACTGTGGTTTTGAGGCTGACCTTGCCCCTCTCCTTCAAACCATCTGCTTATTTGCCCCTTCCTGAGCTTTGTAGCCATGTGCTACTTTTAAGCACTTCTGCTATGTGCATGTTGTTTTCTTTATATTCCTCAAAATATTAATTCCATTATACAGATTTGGAAACTAAAGCTCACAGTAATTAAGATATATTCTTCCTCTCCCCAAATCTCCATTTTGCAGAAATGATTTCCACTTTAAGTTCTTAGGTTTAAATGTCACCATCAGAGAACTTCGATCACAACTTTTATGGTTTATGAGGGTTTCTCTATCACAGCAGCTTATAATTTCTTCAAGACACATATTACAATATTTATTTACTTCTTTTTTGCCTCCTTTCTCCCAATAGACTGTAAGAGCCATGAGAGCCAGAATCTTACCTTCTTGCCCACCACTGTATTCCTAGAACTTAGTACAGTACCTTGCATATAATGGGCATTCAAGTATTTATTGTTTGACTAAGTGAATGAATGAAAAATGGGAAAGAGTTGACTTTAGAACGTAGGATGATCTGACCACAACACTGCCACATGGAATATTCTCTGACCCCCACAGACAATACTGTCAAGAGATTGTGCTCTAGCTCATTACTTTTAAGGCAAAGATGTTTTTATAAATTGTACTTTTTTCTAAAATATAATTATAGACACTTTTAAACTGAAATTAAAAATTAAGACACAAAGTGGTATCTTATACAGTTAGTTGACTGCAACTTGTTCAATTAAAGAATATATTCGACACAACCCTATCAAATCAGTATTGATTTTAGGCTTATTTAGAACATCTCTATTTCTTAACACTAAAAATCAGCCCTGATCAGTTAATTTTGTACCCTATACATTTAAAGCATTTACAGTTATTACTGAATTACTGCTTATCTCAACAAATTTAACTTTATTTCCATTTTTGCTTACAGAATCTTCAAGAATTAAAACCTTTGGATCAGTGTCTAATTGGACAAACTAAGGAAAACAGAAAGAAGAACAGATATAAAAATATACTTCCATGTAAGTTCCAATTTTGTTCCAAATTGAATATGTGCTTAATATAAACTGATTTAAATTTTTTATGCCTATTTAACCTACTTATCCCTCACATAAGCATGTGCATAAACACACATTCAGAGATTTACATCAGTAACAAATAAATTTAGATAGTCAATATGAATCCCTTTTAAATTATATGTATTCTGAAAATCAATTAATCTGAAATATTTGTTGAGATATTCCTGATTTTTTACTAGCATAATGTTAAAAATTAGCCAGTGATGCCAAATCATTAATTTTAAAGTCTTTCTAAAAGTACGAATTGACCTCTAGATGAGCGTTTTCTTGGGTTCATATGTTACAACCACCATCAATTTATTCCACTTTTTTAGTTTAGAGCAATGTTTACGGTGATTAATAGCTATGTACATGCATGTACATAGATATACAGTGGTACCACCAGGCTATATTAGACTTTGAATCATTTCAGATACCAGAAGGAAATAAAAGCAATTATTTTTACCCATGTTTTACCCATTTCATCAATCAACAGTGTGATTTTTTAAAATTATATATGAATATATGTGTATAGCCAAATATTAACCTCCAGCAACTTTATAGTTATCATCAGACACATTTATGTATACTAGCACTTTGGATTACAATATATGACACACTGACCCTGTCTTTGCCAGGAAGTCATAAATCCAAAGATAAATAACAAAATAAAATCAATAGTGACAAATCCTGAGAAAAATAATAATGCAGTTGAATTTTTCCAATCCAGATGGAAGACACAACATTCATTTTAGAAAGCTTGCTATAAGAAGTCAATCTTTTTTTTTTCTTTTTTTTTGAGACAGAGTCTCAGTCTGTCATCTGGGTAGAGTGCAGTGATGTGAACATAGCTCACTGCAGCCTCAAACTCCGAGCTTAAGAGGTCCTCCTGTCTCAACCTCCTGAGTAGCTGGGACTATAGGCATGTGCCACCATGCCTGGCTAATTTTTTTCTATTTTTAATAGAGATAAGATCTCACCTGTAGAGATAGGATCTCACCCTTGCTCAGACTGGTCTAGGACTCCTGGCCTCAGTCTTCCCACCTTGGCCTCCCAAAGTGCTAAGATTACAGGTGTGAGCCACCGTACCTGGCCAGAAGTAAATCTTAAGACAGTGTTTTAAAAATGGAATAGATCATTGTTTAACATAATGTATATGAGAATTATTTTAGACAGAAAAATGGCCAAGCGAATATCTGAAAGTTAGAATAAGACGAGCTATACACCACATGTACTCACCAGCAAATTGATTTCATTGATCAACACCTAAGTGCACATACAGGAGTAACATTTGTTGGGTGTCGGGAAGATGGGAGGGGGGAGGGAGGGGATGGGTTTATGCATACATAATGAGTGCAGTGCGCACCATCTGGGGGATGGACACGCTTGAAGCTCTGACTTGGGGAGGGAAAGGAGAGTAAGGGAAACATACGTAACCTAAACATCTGTACCCCCATAATATGCTGAAATAAAAAAAAAAAGACAAGCTATAAATCCAAAACCAGTGAGTAGATTTGTTGGCATGATACAAATGACCAGAATCGACTAAGAGATAGAAGTCAAATAATAAAGGGCAACTGATAGAGGATTTTGAAACCTATTATTAAAAGGTTTTAATTTGGTAATCACAGGAATTACCAGTTAAAGTACTTTGATAGTGTTATTGTAATGCTAATTTTATATGAAAAAAATTTGGGCATTGCCATTTCGTACTATTATTATTGTCATCATCATTAAAGTAATGATGGAGAATAAGCACCAAAATTGTTTTTAGTTGTTTCTCTACTTATTTATTAAGAAGTTCTAAATGTATTTATTTATTAATTTTAATTTCTTTAACCCAATCTATATAAATAATAAATGCCAAATTTCATGTCAGAAATTCACTGAGCTGACATCTTAGATATTATTTTAACATGAGCAAAAACAGTAAATATAAAATAATTTGACCGCGCTACAATTTGAAAATATACTTCTATTAAAATGTGTGTTTGGCCAGGCATGGTAGTGCATACCTGTAGTCTTAGCTATTTGGAAAGCTGAGGCAGGAGGATTGCTTGAGCGCAGTAGTTCAAGGCCAACCTGGGCAACATAGCAAGATCCCATTTCTAAAAAACAATAATAAAAATGGAAAAAAAAAGATGTGTTTGTGATTTCATCTACAATTATGAGGAATTTCTCAATATCTTTGACTCATACTATTTGTAAGACTCTTGTATAAAATGCATGATATAGACGACTCTGTTTTGTGGTGGGAAATTCACAGATGATGCCACAAGAGTGCCTCTTGGAGATGAAGGTGGGTACATCAATGCCAGCTTCATTAAGATACCAGTGGGGAAAGAAGAGTTCGTTTACATCGCCTGCCAAGGACCTCTCCCCACAACCGTCGGAGATTTCTGGCAGATGATTTGGGAACAAAAATCCACCGTGATAGCCATGATGACCCAAGAAGTAGAAGGAGAAAAAATCAAGTGCCAGCGTTATTGGCCTAACATCCTAGGCAAAACGACAATGGTCAACGACAGGCTTCGGCTGGCTCTTGTGCGAATGCAGCAGCTGAAGGGCTTTGTGGTGAGGGCAATGACCCTAGAAGATATTCAGGTAGGGGAACTTCATCTTTCCATTTAGCAAGGCATGGCTCCTAGCTGGAATCCAAGCCTGGGATCTTTCTACGATTACACCAATGTTATCTCTAGAAAGCCAGTGACTTCCTGGTTCCCATTGCAATGGAACTAATGCCACCTATTCTTTTTTGTCTATTATAAGTTTAAATGTGACTCTCTTCATGCATTCTGCCAAATAGTTTCCTCCAGTATGTGCTGTATTAAAATGAAGATGAAAACGCAGGACTTTTAATGTGATTATCCATCATCCTTTGCTTAGTGATAACACAAAATGGCTCAGAAGCTACATGCTAGAAACTTTTTTTTTAAACTCAAACCTCTAAATAAACTCATTGAAACTGTTTTTAAAAATCTGCAAGTAGGAAATATTCCCTTATAAAGGCAACTTTTAACATATTTAGGTATACATGGATAATTATAGCATGAACAGTTGTCATCAAGATAATTTGTATTGAACTGAGCTTGAATTAGATAAGTGATTATACCTTAAGTAAAGCTGCTGCTGTTTCCTCACCTCCCACACTCCCTCACCTTACTACATTCCTGCCCCCAGTAATCCTAGCTAGTTGTGAGTGATGAGTTTTCTATCGAAAGTTAAGCTTTCTTAAAGAAATAAAGTGATCTTTTATAGAAACAGAGCACATCAGTTCAATTCTATTAGTGTCATGTAAACATAGCCCGAGAATTTCCTTCATGATTTTTGATTTGTGATTTTATAAAATATTGACAATTATATCTCTTTATTGATTTATACTAGCTTACCTATTACTTAGGCTGGCACAGTTGTTCAGTATTCCTCAAATGATTGGTTCATTTAATCCACACATTTTTATAGAGCTCAGACCTTGTTGTGCCCTCCAGGGATTCAGCAGTTAACAACACAGACTAAAAGACATTTCTCACCTTATGGATCTGACTTTCTAGTGAGGAGATGCTAGTGTTGATAGTGCTGTGGAAAACATAAAGCCGGGAAGGGTAGTTGGTTAGGGTAGAGTGAGAAGCATGCTGTGATTTTCAACAAAGAGTCAGAGAAGGCCTGAAAAAGTGGCATGGGGGAAAAACTGTGAAGGAGTTGAAGGAGCAGTGGAAGGATATCCGGGGGAAAGCAGTCCAGTCAGAAAGAGCAAGTGCAAAGGCCCTGAGACCAAACTGTGTCCAGCATATTTAAAGGAGCACAGAGAGGGTCATTTGGCTGGAGTGGAGTGGCCATGGGGGAGAAGAGGGAGAGGTTAGGTCTGAGAGGAAACATGGCCAGATTAGGTAGGGTTTGTAGGCCGTTGCAATGACTCTGACTTCTGTCTGGGGTAGATTTGGAACAGAGCCACCAAAAAAGGTTGTTATTCATATTAAAATGTAATTTGTGTTTAGGGCTTCCAAAAAGTATTTTGTACCAATATTTAAAACAGGGATCTGGCAGCCTTCTTGATAAAGGCCCTTGGTGTGTTTCTTAATGAAGTCTTTTTGTCTCTTCCACTTTTCCTATGATCTAATCCAATGGACAAGTCAAAATTAGAGAGGAAAAATAATATTAAGAACTCGTTATGTATGAACAATATAACATGCCAATTATCTACCTATTCTGTTATACAATTTCAGACAGGAGAGGTGCGACATATTTCTCATCTGAATTTCACTGCCTGGCCAGACCACGATACCCCTTCTCGGCCAGACGATCTGCTCACTTTCATCTCTTACATGAGACACATCCACAGATCAGGCCCAGTCATCACGCACTGCAGCGCTGGCATCGGACGTTCAGGGACCCTGATATGCATAGATGTAGTTCTAGGATTGATCACTCAAGATCTGGATGTGAGTATTTGATACAGGCTGCATGAGCATTTGGCTAGAATAATAATGGAATCTAATTTTTAGTAATGTGTTGTGATCTTGGGATTTTTTTATTTATCAGTTCATATGAATACCTTCATTTTCTTATTATATAGAATAGTATTTTAGTAAACATTATTATTCTTTTTTTTTTATCTTTTACCACTCTCCCCCCAGTTGTAAACATTATTATTCAAAACTGCATAGGCCAAAATCAAGAAAAAACAATAGTTTAATTTTATATTGTTTTACTGGGTTTTTTTTAACAATGTACTCAAGAGCTGCTTAGGCAGCATTAAATTTAACCCTTTAAAGTCTTTAGGCTTGTATAAGATAAAGTCAGTACTGTTATCCCACTTTACGGATAGGCATTTGGAAGCACAAAAGATAGTATATTTTTAAGTAAAAAGGCTTGGGTTTTTTGTTATTGTTATCTATGGGTAGGAAATGTATATTTTTATGCAAAATAATGCTAAATAGTCTATCTCTGAACAATTATTCCCAATTTAAAAGATTACTATAAGAGTTTAATCTTATGGCCGGGCGCGGTGGCTCACGCCTGTAATCCTAGCTCTCTGGGAGGCTGAGGCAGACGGATTGTTTGAGCTCAGGAG